TTTATCTTCAAGTGCTGTATCTGCGCATCGAAATAATTGCTGTAAAAGGTATCCTTCATCTGGTAGCGTGGCCGAGCGGTCTAAGGCGCTGGTTTTAGGCACCAGTCTCGTAGGAGGCGTGGGTTCGAATCCCACCACTGCCAATATCTTTTATCTTCAAGTGCTGTATCTGCGCATCGAAATAATTGCTATAAAAGGTATCCTTCATCTGGTAGCGTGGCCGAGCGGTCTATGGTGTTGGTTTAAGGCACCAGTCTCGTCAGGGGAGTAGGTTCGAATCCCACCGCTCCCAATCTTTTTTATCTTCAAGTGCTGTATCTGCGCATCGAAATAATTGCTATAAAAGGTATCCTTTATCTGTTAGCGTGGGCGAGTGGTCTAAGGCGCTGGTTTTAGGCACCAGTCTCGTAAGAGGCGTGGGTTCGAATCCCAACGCTGCCATTTATATAATCTCCAAATACAATTTCTGCTCATCCCAGAAATTTATCGAAGATAACCGCAATGACTTGGCCTCCATTCCTTACCACTGGAAAACCAACCTAATGATCATTCTGGGACACTAAACCCTGTTTATTGTTGTCCGAAACGGAAGGGTTCAGCATTGTTTATTAATCTTTTTCTCCCTGTTTCCTGAATAAGTAGAAACAAGGCCAGTAATATCGTTTCGTAATAGAGAAACAACAATCGCTAAGGCAAGTTTTAACGCGGAAAAAACAGTATCATTCGTGGGCACATAACCTAAGTAACGGTAAGACAAGCTTAACCTGAGAACGGCATAATTTATGTGGAAGAAAGACGAGGCAAAGGGCGTAGCACTTGTGCACAGGCTGCATTTACAGGGTAACAACTTAGCCGTGTGAATTTGGGACCTTCAAAATGAAGGTCAAATTTTTGACTTGCACGGATAAAAAAAATTGACTGTCCGATACCTTGTCCGGATATTTTTTCGTGCGGCAACTCGGCCGAATTAAAAATGTACTTGTATCATGTGAAATCCTTGTCCAGATAACAACAAACCGTAGAGAGTATGCTTTGCCCATGATAAATTCGAAAACTACTAATATTATTATATTGATCCGGTTCCGTTTAAACAGAATAAGGTGCTTCGTTTTATAGAACTAAAGAGACGGTTCTGTGTAAAGTAATGGAAATGACAGGCCAAATTTTAGAATGGTTAAAAATTTTTCCGTACAACGTACGCAAAAAGTTAGAATTTGGAGCATTCTGGTAGGTGAGATCATATTCACGACCAGTCATCTATCTTCGAGAGTTTCAATCTGCAAGACTGATTGATAAACTTTGTTCAGAAGTGCGAAATTTTGTTCAAAACCGTCTAGGAATTCAGTGCGACTACACAAAGAACTGAAAAATACATAATATTTTCTTCTTTTCTTCCAGTTCAGAGTCAACTCACAGAGCTATAGCTCAGTTTTTTTATGACATGGACGATCTGAAGGTAATGAAAATCATCGATTGGGCCGTAGAATGCAAATTGTTTTCCATAAACTGGCCAGACGTGAATTGCAAGTTCGTTTTTATTTCGCGGATACATGGCGAGAATACACCGTACTTGCCATTTATAGCAATCACTCATTCTGGGCTGATCAGTTTAATAAATTAGGGGAATAAACCGAAAAAGCCGAACTGAGAAAAACAAGACCTCTTGAGGACCAAATTCGCGCTAAAAGCACACGTCTATCATAATCCTTTGAATGTTAGTCGACATTTCAGCAATATAAAACCAATATATTCTATAGCTTTAGTTTTTCTCAGTGAAAGTCGATATTTTATAGAAAGAATATAAAGAGTTTCGTCTTAACGTACCCAAAAGTTGTGTTTTCATGATGTCGTTCTCTGTCATGCCATCGCATTGTCAAGATTCCAAAAACTAATTCATCTTCCTGGTTCCCGTTGCTATGAGTTGTCCAGTTTGTACTGATGGGGATTCCCTAAAGAACAATATATAATATTTTCCGGTTTGGCTTCTGTTCAGCATATTTATTGTATGGAAAGTGGAATGCTGCCAAATTATGGGCATCTTCCGGGTTTTTAAATCGCCAAATGTTTATGTGAATATATTGCATCCTGATAGATTTGTCCTAACAAAGTTTACGAGGGGCAGTTTACGACTCAATCCAGCTCCCTATTTCTTCTTATTCAAAACTTAAAATGAATCTTACTAAGGGAAATAAAAGGTTTGATAGGAGCGACTAGGCGCGGGATGTTCACGTCTTCAGGTCCCGCTTCATGCATGAATTAAACTGACATCAACCAGGAAATTACGAGAAGAAAGCAAGTCATACTATGAACCAAAACAAGAATATTACTAACAAAGATATGACTTTCTAAAACTCATGAATATTTAATGAGGAGAAAACAAACAAATCACTACTGTGGCGGTGGTTTGGAAATGTGTTCTTAATTTGCATTAAATTTCGTAAACTTTTTCTTTGATTTTCTCCAAGAAATATTCATGAGTTTGAGAAGTAATTTGAAACACTTGAGAGAGTTCTTCCTCCGATTTCCAAACACCTCAAAGTCAGTTAAAAAAACTCGTCTGCGCCTCGTTTTTTCAACTCACTTTTCAGTGTTTGGAAATCGGAGGAAGAACTCTCTCGTGTGTTTGAAATATTACTTCAAAGTTTTCAACAAATTCATAATCTCATAATTCATATCTTTAAAAGCTATTTATATGCCATCAAGTTTTCCATGGAACGTTACCCATAGTACAGTAAATGCTTTCGGGCGTTGCTTTAATTTTCCCGCCATAATGGCCACGGATCATGCAGTCTGCTTATATCCATATTGTTATCTAGCCCTGATCAAAATTTAAAAAGGACTATCCCGCTTTGCGAGAGTCGAATTTTGAAGTAACAAAAATGACCCCAGTTTATTCGCATTCAAAACATAATTATTTTTCTTATAATAAGGATATGGTCTCCCAGTTTATCGCTTAAACGTTATTTGGACGAAAATAGGGTTTAAAAAAGCACACGCACACACAAACACAAAAAAAAAAAAACGTTGAAATTGAAACAAACTATGTTAGTCACTCTTATTTTTCGCTTTTCGTCTTAAATTGTTTTTGGTTTCCAGTTGGCTATTTTAAGGCTGCGTTCATAATGTATTTCTTATAAAAATTTGCCCATCACTCCCCTTTTTCCCACCAAAATTTTCTCGATCCCCCCTAAATTTCACCTGTCCCCCCTCCTCCGGCCCTCTGCCATACATTATGAACGCAGCCTAAGAGATCTTCATAAAATTTTATTTCAATATGTTTTTACTTTAACATTAACATTTGATAATTTTACACTTTTACTCCCTCACTTTAAGTTTTCCCCATTCACCACCTCAGACTTTCTTGTCAGTTAGAACATAGTTAATGATATTAACTATGGTTAGAATATCTGCGGTTCGGACCGCACACCAGCTGTTACATGAAATTTGTTACGAGAACAAATTCAAAATAAAATGTGATTGAAACACAGTTATTTTAAGTCAATCAAGCATTGCAGTGGAAGGAAATTTGTAGATGACACTGAAGCGACCGGTCACTGGTTATTGAATTTGGAAATATTACTTTTGGTTTACTTTGAATGGGTGTTGTTTCGATATATAGTTTTACTTAAAATATTTTTTCATAGATTTTTGGGTAGCAGGGGAGACAAAGCGCGTAAAACTTTAACCTTTTAAAGGTTTGGGTTCTAAAGGACAGGTTGCTGGGATACTTGGTGTTATGCAGTAGCTTTACCGGGTTTTTGTCCAGGTTCTCCGGTTTTCCTACCTCCTTACACATCAACATGTAAATCTCTGTGTGTTAATATGTACAGAATATTGAACCAAGGTGGTTCTCCTCCCATGCTCGAGGGTATTTCACTTTCCTAGACATCAACATGTGAGTCTTAGTGACTATCCTCTTCCTCACACTGAGAAGTTTTCTCAGGGGTTTCAGATTTTCCATTCTAAACAACAACCAGCATCAATAAGTTCCCCTCATTATATGTGGCAGTGCATGTATGCGATCGTGGACAGCCTGACCTTGCACGCCTATAGCTTGTGACCTTCAAGGCTTTCTTTATCGGCTTTCGAAAAGGATTAGCAGCTGTTATTGGCTGGCGACCCTTCAAGAATCTTTGATTTGATTTTCTGATTCACTATCAATTTTTTTCGCAAAAATAACTATCATTCTACTGGGCCTTAAACTTAATACCTGACAAGCAGAGCGTTAATTATTGTTGCGAGGAAAACGTATTAAAATAAATAAAAAAATAAAAAATGGGGACATGAGTATAGATTGTTATCAAAATTTTCCTCTGTCTATTTTTTATTTGCTACAAAAAAATTGCATTTATTAGCTTTCGGCTGTCAATCTTTGTTTTTTACTTGCTTGCTTGTTTATTTCTGTTCCTTAAAGATATTATTTTTAGTGTTTTTTTCCCGTTATAGCCTTTACGTCATTTGCATCGATTGATAATCTCATGCCGACATAAAAAAAAGAAAAGAAAAAGAAAATTGTCATTGTAGTCTGCTGTTGATGAAGACGTTTTTCTCCACCTGCATATTCCAAGTACAGTCAATGTCATTAACGTTTTCCACCGAAAAAAGACATTTAGACTAAAAGAAATATCACGTGTTTCCTCCAACGTTCTGGCATAAAACAAACACTGAAGTACAATTCTACAGTATATATCTACATCTAGTTTGTTTTTTAGTATTAGGCGCTATTTCTTTGTTTCTTTGTTTCTTTTTTCTTTGTTGGGTAAAATATATCAGTCATTTGCTGACTACAATAAAATGCTCCTTGCTTTTCTATTTATCTTGGCCATATCTCGTGCAAATATATAGCCCTCTGCCTGAGTTTGTCTGTGTCGTATCATTGTGTCAACTTTAAACACCTGTGCAAACCATCCCTTCCTTCTTATCTTGTTTTTCATTTGTGCAAACACCTGCATAAGCGAGTTCTTCCTCTGTATCCCGTTTTTCATTGGTACTGATCTGTTTTGCACTGCAGGACGCTGTTGCTGTTGCTGTCGCGGTATTGCTTGTTGATGCAGTTTTTGAGGAGCTGAGCAAAGCCCTTGACTTCTGTGCCAGTTGACGGAAACTTTTCTTGTAGGCAGAACGAAAATGATCAATTCGAAAACTGTAAATTAAAAAGTTCATGGAGGAATTAAAAAGGAGAAGAGTTCTTATCCACATGTAGAGGACGCCATCAAGATTCCTGACCAGACCATTTTTCATTGAGACGTAAATACCAACCAACGGGAACCAACAAATCGAAAAGACTAGGATGACGATGGCAATGGTTCCTGCAACACGTCTCTCCATGCGGGCGTCTCGCGATGCAGCACGGCTATCCCCAGGCATTTCTCCCCTTACTCTTTCGCGAGTGATTTGGTAAAGGATGATTGAGTAGGATACAATGATGATAAAATAGCTGACAAAGATCACCAAAACGGACAGGATAAGTGTCTCGGGGAATGGCACACGAAGGCTTACAAACAAGGTCGCTGATCCCCAGCAGCAGCAAAGCATGATTTTCAAGCCGTATTTCCCCATCGTCGAGTGATATCTGTGAGGATTTGATACAACAAGAGCGCGGTCGACGCTGATGGCAGCCAAGTGGAACAATGAACAGGAACATGAAAAATTCGCAACGACATCATAAGCATAGTCAACACTGGGGACGCAGAAGTGGCCGAAGGTTTTTGCAGCTACTGTTGTGACTTGCAGTGGTTGAGCAATCATGGTAACGAACAAATCTGCTACTGCAAGGCTCAGCAGAAGAAAGTTGGAAATCCGTCGAAGCTTGGGGGTCTTATAGACTACTACGATGATGATGATGTTCCCAAAGGTACCAAACACACTAAACATTATGTTCAAGAGAACGATTGCTGTACCATGGTCGAGAGGAAAAGTGCATTTCTTTGACAAAACACTGGTACTACTGGGCAATGGCGATGTGGATGACAAACTTGTCGAGTTTTCTCCTTGTATCATATTTTCACCCATCTTTTGGCACGTTGTGGAACGACTCTCGTTTGGCCAACATCGGTTCTGCTAAATCCTTTTATAGTATTTGCTCAGCATGTTGTGTGACAGCGTGTAGTTAAGGAAGTCGAAACTGAAATTGTATATTGACCAACCCATTAAACATCCCGCCAAATTCCACTTCGAGTAATAAACAGCTGTTCCTGAAAGACGAATATTGACTTTTTAAATGCAATAATAAGCTGCTAAGTCGCACGCAATAATCTTGTTTTTGTGCTTTCGAATTCTTTCTTTTAATGCTTTAAAAAAAGGCAAACAAAAAAGAATTATAATCAATAAAAATTCGGAAAAAAACAATTGTTGCCGGGGTTATTTATAGCGAAATGAAAGAGGAAATGCTGAGATTAAGAGATCTAAAGCGGAACAATCTTTTGGATCAAATTACAAGGAAAATACTTGAACACAAATAGCACCACTCGTGATAGATAGATAAATAGATAGATAGCTTTATTAGTTATGTCATTGCAGCCTCCGGAATGGCTGAACTTGCTATATATACTTTAAAATTTTTAAAAACATTTAACATATAGAAACATCAATAAAGGAAAAGGAGGTATAGGAAGAAAAAGAAAAACCTAACAAATAATATAAGGGGAATTTAGCAAACAACATCTAAAATTATGKTAGTAATCTAAAAACCACTATTAGGAGGAATAAAATATATACTAAAACTAAACGGTTACTCCTAACAGCTTAGCGCATGAAACAACTTCGATCTCCTTATCATTAATTATAACTGGCTCTAGTAATATAACTAATCAAGAGAATGATATTCTTAATTCTTTGCATTTCGACTTGTTGAGCTGGAAACCGTCGGTTTCAGTCTGCCGCACAAGGTTATCTACGCGTAACTGCATAGAGCTGACTTCATTCTTCATTACTACATCACCGAGGGTAGTATCATCCACGTACTTCCAGAGAGTGGTGTCTGGAACAGAGAGATTGGAAAGGAAAAAAGTTTTTGAATAAGATAAAGGAGGGAGCAAACTTTAAAGTAGAATGGTTAAGCGAAGAAGAGAAATTCAATTTTATCATAAACTCAAACAAACCAATCCCAAAAATAGTAGCTAAATATATACATGACTGCTTTAAAAAGAGGGAGAGTCTAAAGCAATAAAATCTTTGACAAATTTAGCTTATTAATATTTTGGTGAAAAAAGGAAAGGACATTATATATAGATCGATGGGCGGCGATCGCTGATACTATTATAAACAAGAACTATCAATATATATTAGTTTATGGAACTATTATATATTTTTATTGGCAGCAATTAATGCAATGTAAATATGTTTATACGGAGCCAATAAAATACGTTGTCTTGTCTTGTCTTGTCTTGATCGTTTATCATAACGAGGAACAGCCAGGGCTGGTGTTTATTCTTAGTTGAAAGTCCGATATTAGAGTCTGGAATAGGCGAGCTTGTTTATTTATTATCTGGAATGAAATGTCTTATGTTTCGTTCAATATTATTACAACTCTTGGAAATAGAGGTTGTTTTCTTTGTTAGCTGTTATTTCACTTTTCACTTTTCACCCAGTTTCACTTTTCACTTTTCACTTTTCACTTTTCACTTTTCACTTTTCACTTTTCACTTTTCTCCGTTTCCTTTATCTTACATTTGTCATCCACCTTGAGGTTCTAAACGTTTTTCAGTCTCGTGAAATTGAGGTGTGGCGGGCAAGATGGTGCTGTGCATCTCTCTGCTTCATCAGCTCTCTTCTGATCCAGGTGTTTATCACTGGTGAGCGTTTACTATGCTTGGCTTTAAATGTCCTCAATGGAGCATGTTTCCTCTAACACTTCGTGACAAAAGTTATAAAAATCACTATTTCCATAGCTAATGTATTAACTCTAATAACTATGCTCTTTCTGTAACGTTTGTACGTTTTCCACAATGTCTTTTAACAACAACAACGACAACAACAACAATAGTTTATTTGTACTCAAGGAGGAAAGAATTACATGAAAAATAAATTTAAAATTATTAACTCGATCCCTTGTTTCTGACTTGAAACTCTCTCTCTGCCCTCTCCGCACGCTCAAGCATGGCATACGCGGTACGTGCTCCCGACGTCACACCTTTCCTTCTTCTACAAGAACAAAATATAAACTCATTCCTTGTGTCATTTCAGTTTGTCATTCTTGGCTTCTGTATCGTGTTTCCACAGCATCTAAGCTTCAGGTTGTGCTTGGACGTCTGTTGTGCCTTCCAGGAGGCATGACTACTGGTTAAGCTGATGGGTCTGTCACGAGGTGTAGTTTCCCTTCCATCTTGCCAAGGCCCGTTCAAATAGATGATTGTATTGTTGTAGGATTTGCTCTTTCATGAAAATTTGGATCAACTTTAGGATTGACCTATAGACCATTCTCTTTGGTTACTACTATAAGGCGCAGAAGAGAGAAGAAGAGAGTCTGGCATTGTAAGAATGTAAGAATCTGGCATTGTAAGAATCAACTTTGGGACTGACCTATAGACCATTCTCTTTGGTTACTACTATAAGGCGCAGAAGAGAGAAGAAGAGAGTCTGGCATTGTAAGAATGTACATCAAAGATGGATTTAAGAACTTTTTAAGGATGGCAGGTAGAGAATTGCAATGATAATCATACACTAACGTTGCAGTATGAAAGTGAATAAGGTCTGCAAGCTGGATAATTCAAAGCGGACTGAAATTGGATATGAATTAGCATGGCATGCAAAAAAATGGCATGAAACGCATAGCTTTTTTTGGGTGGTTGCGCTAGTGGAGTCCAATAGAGAAAAAATAGCTGCCTATTAGTACGTAAGAAGAAAACGAGTTTAATAAAGTACCACGATTGCCATAGCTAGTTCTTCAGTTAGGAGAAAAGGATAAATATGACTTACGTGTTCAATTCTTTGCTGAGATCAAGAAACACCGCAAGGTGAAGAGACCTTTAACAATAAATGTTTGGATTTTATCAGTTATAGTTGAGAGAGAATGTACCGAGGAGTGACTGAAACGAAAATCAAATTAGTTATTACTTAGCGCAAGGTTGTTTTTTTTTCAAAAAAGGAGACAATGCGTTTTTTATATAGCTTTTCTAAAAGTTGATTAAAAGTTGAAAGGAGTGAAAATGGACGATAATTAGATATTATCAATGGTGATTCCTTCGGTGAAGACAGGGATCACTTTTGCAACTTTGAAATTGCTTGGAACCACGCCAGTTGCTAGAGATATGTTATACAGTCTAGTCAGAGGTTGAGAAATAATGATAGACATTAAATTGAGATTTTTAAAGGAATACTCAAGGAGCCTAAAGACTTCTTTCTACCCAATTTCAATGTCTTGTCTGAGATTTCTTGTGCAGAAACAGAAGTTATAAATCATCTTTATATTATAAAAGTGTTGATTTTTGTTTGCTTTGTTGTTGTTGCTTTTTTTCACTATGCAGAGCAAAACTATTGTAAACGTAATGATGAAAAGGTAAATTATACACCGTGAAAAGATGAAAAAACTTACTGACGTTTCGGACGCTAGTCCGAAACGTCAGTAAGTTTTTTCATCTTTTCACGGTGTATAATTTACCTTTTCATCATTACTGTTTCATTAGAAACACCGACGCAGCTCACACTAGTTTTTAGCTAGTTATATCTTTTTATTGTAAACGTATTTTGCTGCAGCTRGTTGTAAATTATGGGGAGGATCTATCAACTTCAGGAAGAAYTGGTCCTCCGTAAGGGAGCTATTTRTGTTATTTTGCATAACAAATTCTTCTCTTAGTTTGGAGTATAAAGGACATTTAATTAGGAAGTGTCTTTCATCTTCTATTGTATGATATCAGTACAATGAAAGCACTTCCTTTCCTCTACTTTCTTGTAACTAGAGTATCTGCCTCTTTCAATTTCTAAGTCATCTCAGCTTAGTTAAGGCTCTTCTGTGATAAATTACATTTATTATAAAGTAGAAATTTCCGAAAGTACAAAATGTGAGGCCGAGGTATTTATAAAGTTTAACATTTATAAAGACCAGTCATTATTTATGTCGGAAAGGGGGGGAGGGGGGGAGGAGAAAATGTTCCTAAAATCCCTCAAGCTTTTTGTCTAGCTTTGCTATTGCTTTATTCATGATACCCATGCTCTTCGTGGCCTGTTTACATATGGACTTGTGTTCTTCTTGGGCTTCATAGGTTGATTCTTTCAAGCTTTTCTTCCGTTTAGCCGATTGTTCATCACCCGATTCACCTGTCGGCGCGTCCTCGACAAACTCGGCCATCTTTTCTCGTCTTCACTTCTCTGGTGTTCTTTACTTGGCGTATTTCATTTGATCATCGAGTATTCTTGAACTTGTTTCCGTTACGCTCTTTCGCCGTCTGGTTCTCTCTTGGCTTGCATCCTCTTTATTTGCTCTCGCTACCGCTTCATGTTTCATCTCCTCTGTCACGATTCTCTTCAGGCGGCGAATGGCAGTGGCTGAATCTTTTTCAAGATAATAGTCCACTAGACGAGAAGACAAAGGGACTTCGTCGATGGTTTCTTGTACTTTCGTCAGTGTTGTGAACTGCAGCCCATGTATGCAGACATGACAATGCTTTTTTCATGATCCCCTACTGGTATCCTCACACGGCTTCCCTTTGGGTTTGAATGGCCATTGCTTTTGTCCAAATCATCGACATATAGGGTCTCCACAATGACATACTTTCGTTTGATTAAACGATGACTACAGGAATAGGACTGCGACAATCGTGAACGTCTTGCGTAGTACCCCTTTTCAAGATACCCCGCCTACTGCACGAATTTGATAACTGTTTACATATGATTGGTGTACGTTATGCTATCATCAATCGTAGAAATGACTAAGATAAATGACAAAGATAGTCATATATATAATTGCACAAAAGCTATTGGCCCTTATTTCAAAGCCGAGTGGTAGTGATAAAAAAAGCATAATAAAAAACACCATTAAAAATCTGAGCTCCACCCCTTATTACATCATGTTGCATACCTATGTYAAGTGCTTTTAACATAAAGCATTTTTATTCCCGTGACGGGCAGTCTTGTCGGAGTCGTAATTAAGATTACTGTTCTCTTTTTCACTATTGAAAGATTAGGAAATCAACCAAGCCTAATTTACCTTACTTCTATTACGTACCTTTTTTGCATTACAACGT